ATCCAAGGAGGAATCCAATCCTTATTTTATATATAGAATTTTTCACATCTAGTTCGATTTGATTCGGGTGAACGTGCGCGAATAGCCTAAAAACGAATCTCATTTCACGAGGCACAAGCTAGCACGTTGATACCTTACATATACATACATACATACATACGTACGTACGTACCTTATACGAGACTTACAAATCGTAAGGCATATAGAGTTTCACAGAGCGTCACAGTGCTTTTTAGCTCGGTATTGCATTAACATTATCGCTACAATTGCATAATTAAATCGTAATCGTGTATGCGAATGAATACGAACACGTGTCGTACGCAGGGGGGTGGTTGTTTTGTTTACTCGTTTCGATCGTTCCCCTGGACCGAACACTGCTTTCTTCGAGGACACCTTCCACCGAAATCAAGTAGACAGTAACGGCCGTATAGTAATCGTAATCGTGTATCTATTTATAATAACCAATGTTGTAATCGCGCGTAATGGAAAGAAAAGAAAAGAAAAAAGGTTCGGATTCGTCTCGCGACAAATTTTGTATGCACGTGCACGACACACAATGGGATCACTTATCGATTAATCATCGAAACGCAATATACAGAGGAATGAATCGAATAAGCACGGATGGATGGATTCAACGCTTAGAAATAATCGGTCGATCATACTCGACTCGCATGATTTTCCGATAATAATTTAAACACGGTTTTACTTTTTGTTCGATTATTGCTTCTAGCGCGGTCCATTTATCATTTGCTTTCGTAGATTTAAAAAGAAAATGAAAAGAAAAAAATAATCGCCGTCAAGCCTGTTAAATTTGTTACACTGTTACACACGATATCCGGTGAAAGGCGTGCTCGAACCAAATACAGATAAGTTATCAGTGATTTGTTTCGCGTTTCTTCGACAACAAGCTCTTAATCGAGTACGATTCTTGACAAGCATACATTGCAAGTCACTGTCAACAGTGACAACAATCTTGAACGATGTGTTTTACTCCAAGTCTTCCTACCACGTAAACTTAAGCGATATGAAATTTCGGCCAGAACTATTCTAAACGTGAAAACGTAGGAACTGAAGGGATAATATATATTATTCGGATATATTGTAGGGGATCGTAGCATTGCTACGTCTTACGAATTAAGATTAAACCAATCTTACTACTATCGAAGGAAAACACGGTGGATTTTAATTTTAATTTCACCTCTGTTAATATCTTTCTCTCTCTCTCTCTCGACTTTCTTCCTCTTTTTCTCTCTCTTCTTCTTCTTTTTGAGCGACTTTTGCTCGAGCATACTTTTCACCCATATATATTTCGTAACAGCCACCGTAATTAAAATGGAGAGTATATATATATACTTTACATTATAGGGATGAAAATGCATGAACATTTGGCGAAACTCGATACATATCATATTTGAAATTGATGATTAAGTAAAAAGGAAAAAAAAAAAAAAATACGATGTAATGTTCGAGGAACAGTCGCTTCGCACGTGGTCGCTTCGTCTCGCTTGATATCGTTGCTCGAACGATCGATAAATATTCTTTTTCGTCCCTGATATTTCTCGAAACAGAACTCGATAAAGAAACACGATGAGATCGCGGATTGAGAACACGTTCAGATCTTTTATTCTATTTATGCGTATTACACTATCATCGCGCGTCTTTTGCACGATTCCTTTTTTCCTTTTTTTCTTTTTTTCTTGACAAGGTCTCGCGTTCGACAAGACTGAAGTAGCTCAAATTCGATTCAGTCGTTCACGCTATTTATCGACGAGCTGAAGAGTTCATTGAATTCTCAAGAAAGAAGGCCTGTCGAGGGATTCATGTGCGAAGCGCGATAAACGATAGCTGTACGATAGGTACAGCACCATTAATAGACTATTAACAGAAGAAGAATATATAATATACAGTAACGATGTAATTAATATACAGTTTCAAAAAAAAAAAAGAAGGAATTTTTCTTTTATCCTTGCCCTTCGTTCATCAATCTGTCTGTTTGCATAAATATAATAAATAAATTCGTAATATACATACATATATATATATATTAATATCCTATATTTATATATAATTACGGTTTAATTTGCGCAAATGATAAAGTGACATTCAAGGCTATAAAGCAAATAGCAAAAAAGCATGCATTAAATAAAAAAAAATAATAAAAATAAAAATAAAAATATCAATTTTCTACAAATTATGAAGACAAGTTGAATTTTCTTATCTGGAATGGATATCAAAAATTATAACGTATGATAATTATGATAATTTATGCATATAATAATTTGTACTTATGCTATCTATAAAATGACGCAATATCGGCTAAAATTTCGAAATGTACGATATAAAACGCATATACGAACAATTATAACGATCAAGCATTTTATTTCTATTTTTCTTTCCTTCATTCCCCCTCCCCCTCCCTCCCCGCCCCCCCCCACCCACCCCACCCCTCCTCTTTTCGTTCGAGATACGAAATTCTAATAATTTAATGCAAGGGGATGATTGCAAGACAACGACCAATTTATTTGGTAAATAAATGGTAATTTATTTGATATTCTTTGGCCTATATCGATATTACTTATGAATAGAGTTACAACTAGAGGCACTAGTCAAGCTTAAATTCTAGCCGACTACGAGAGATCGTATTATGATCGATGTTTCTAAAACTATATTTCCCCCGAATACGGATCGGAGAAGAATCGAAAATCGTGTCAAAGATTGATTAACTAGGACTAATAAAATTAATTAATAGCTATTATGCTCACTCCAAGTTTCTGATCACTGACCACTAAATGGTATTCCTTCTATCGGATCAGTGTGTATAATGTAATACATATTATATATACGTATATATAAAGTGTATACGCGACGTGATTCGCAAAGATAGGTGAAAGATACGGAAGAGTCAAGAAAAACCGATTACTTTCTACATAATAAAAATACTATCGTTCTAAAAATTTAAAATACTGTCGTAATAATTTACTAATGATTTCATACGAGGTGTGAGAAAACGATAAATACGTGATTTTTAAATTTGTCTTTCGTGTCACGTATTTTTGGCGATTTTTCTTTAAAATGTATTCTTTATCTATGATACCATTTGCGTGTACACCTGCCTTTTTTTTCTTTTTCTCTCTTTCTCTCTCTCTCTCTTTCTCACTCGCTCGCACTCTCTCTCTCTCTCTCTCTCTCTCTCTCTCTCTCTCTCTCTCTACTACTACTACTACTACTACTACTACTAC